GGTGAAAAGCTGACAGCATACACTTCTCCCCATAGTGGTATGCGCTGGTTTGTTGGTGTTTTAGCCGGAGAATACTAAGAAAAGAAGGAGAATATTGGATTGAGAAGATTATACATAACATTTCATTAAACTTGTAAATATATACAACAAAATGACAGCCCAAAATATCCACTGTTACACCAACTTTGCAGGGATATTTTACACATTTGAATTTAAACTAAGACTTACAACTAATAAATGTGCAATCCCTTTCAAATACAAGTCCTAATCATAGTTGAGTACACCTAAACACATCACTAAAATGCATCAATTTCAGCTGCTCAAACATGGTGGGAAGCAAGGCAAAAACAAAGACAACTTTGGCGCCAAAAAATTTTCAGAACCAAACTGAAATTCTGCTGCATTTCTAGCAAAATATCACTGTTTTAATACTCCTACTTGATATTTTTGCTAGAAACACCAAGGCTGAGCCTAAAGTCTTGGCTTTGGACAAGGCTTTGGTCATGATGTCTGCCACTTGATCTTCATCCCTGCAATGGACCAATTCAACTTCCCCATCATGTTTAACTTCTCTTACCGCATGGAACTTGATTTTTAAGTGCTTAGTTCGTCCATGATGAATTGGATTTTTAGCCATAGCCACAGCCGATTGATTGTCACACATGATTGCAGTAGGATTTCCTTATTTTAACTTCAGATCTTCCAGAATTTTTCTCAACCAAATGGCTTGGTTTACAATAGCTATAATTCAAATATACTCTGCTTCTGCTGTGGATTGAGCCACAGTTTCTTGCTTCTTGTGAAGCTAGCAAATTGCACCACAACTCAGAAAAAATGAATATCTAGAAGTGCTTCTCATGTCCTCTATTGAGCCAGCCCAATCACTACTAGAAAACCCCACAAATCTAAAGTTTTCTGACTCCTAAACCATACTCCAAAGTCAGTGCTACCCTTTACATATCTTAGGACCTTTTTTGCAGCTTTGAAATGTGTTTCTTTGCTCTAACTCATACACCTGGATAGCAAGCTGGTAGCATACATTATATCTGGTCTAGTTGTTTTGCTGTTAAATACAACAAACAACCAATCAAACTCCTATACGACCCTTCATCAATCTTCTCAACATCATCATCTTTGAAAAGCCTTTGGTTAGGAACCAATGGAATGTCCACTGGTTTGCGATTCTCCATGCTGAATTTCCTTAAGACTTCACTTGCATACTTCTTTTGATTGACGCAAATCCCATCTGAGTTTGATAAATTTACATGCTGAGGAAATAAGACATTTCCCCTAAGTCTGTCACCTCAAACTCATTGTGATAGACTTCTTGAACTCCCCCAATTGAGCAAGTTTACTCCCTGTCACCAGGAGATCATCAACATATAAGGGAAATGATCATCACATCCTTATTTACCTCTTTAACATATAAAGTATGTTCATTTGGACTTCTCACAAAACCTAAGCTTATTAAGTGATCATTAATCCTGTTGTACTAGGCCCTTGGTGCCTGTTTCAAGCCATATAAGGCCTTCTTTAGGAGGTAAACTTTATCCCCACTTCCTCTGATCTGGCACCCTTTTGGCTGCTCAACATATATTTCCTCATTCAACCACCCATTTAGAAATGCTGACTTAACATCAGCATGAAAATTTTTCCAGCCAAATTGAGTTGCCACAACAAGCAACAATCTAATTGTATCATGCCTAGCTACTGGTGCAAAGGTGTCCAGGAAATCAATTTCATATTGTTGAGCAAAACCTTTAACAACTAGCCTAGCTTTATGCTTATGAATTGAGCCATCCAAATTCAGTTTCTTCATGAAAATCCACTTAAATTGGATTACTTCTCTATTCTCAGGTCTGTCCACAAGTTTCTAGGTTTGATTCTTCTCTATCTTTGCTAACTCCTTCATGGCAACTCTCCAAGTCTCTAATTTTGCTACTTCAAAGAAGCTTGTTGGTTCAAAACAGCCATGTTACACCTTTCATACACCTCAGCTAAAGACCTAGTGCCTCTAACCAAGAACTCCTCTGTATCATCCTCATCTTCTTCAATAATTTGATCACCCATATCTCTTGTCACTTGAGGCCTTGTGTCTTCATCAAACTTTGCTTTCTTACTAATTCTAGACTCCATTCTCATCTACCTTGACATCTTGGAAATAATAATCCTTTTTGACTTAGGAATATACACTCGGTAGGCCTTGGATTAGCTGTTATAGCTAATGAAGATTCCAGTCAAGGCTTTATTATCTAACTTGGCTCTTCTTACAGTTAGAACAAGGACATAGCATATACTTCCAAAACCTTAAGATCATCCACTACTAGTTTAACTCCATTCCAGGCTTCAAATGGAGTTTGGTTGATTAAGGCTTTTGTAGGAAGTCTAGTAAACAAATAAAATGTTGTGTTAACAGCCTCTGCCTAGAAGGATTTTGGGAGTTTCTTTTTAGCAATCATGCATCTTGCCATCTCCATAGCTATCCGATTTTTCCTTTCACTAACTCCATTTTGCTGTGGAGTGTAGGGGCTACTAAACTAATGTCTAATTCCAGTCTCCTTGCAAATCTACTTAAACTCTTGAGAAGTGTATTCAGTCCCATTGTCACTCCTCAAGGTTTTGATAGTTTTTCCTATTTGGTTTTCCACTAGCTACTTGAGCTTCTTAAACACACCAACCACATCCTAGACCAGTCATCTGTAAAAAATACAAAGTACCTACTTCCACTCAATGATAATGTTTGCATAGGGCCACACACATATGAGTGAATGAGTTGAAGTTTTTTAGAGGCTCTTCAGGCTTGGTTTGCAAGAAAAGGTTTCCTGCTGAGTTTGCCTAACTGACATGCTTGACACACTCCCTTTGGTTCCTCAAAAACTGGTAGATTCAAGACCAAATCTTAGCCTAAATTTCTCTTAAACCACTATAGTGCACATGGCCTAACCTCTTATGTCACATCTCAGTCTCATCTTCCCTAGCATTGCATACTTTATCTACTAAATTTTCCACATATTAGGAAAACTTTTGCCTATCATTCTCACCCTTATAAGCTCACGGCCTTCATTATCTACATTATGCAAGATTGGTTTTGAAAATGCAATACATAATTCTTTTCCAACATTTGTCATACACTAAGAAGACTTTGACTAATTTCGGGTGCATAAAGTACATTGGTAATAAGCTTTGTACCTGTTGGTGTCTGGACAACAACATCTCCTTTTCCTTTTGCTTCCACAAACTCACCATTTCACACTTTAATGTTGGACTAATGTGCTTGATCCAAGTTGACAAAGTTTTGCAGGTCTGGTGTCATGTGGTTTGTACATCCACTATCAATCACCCAACCTTCATTGCATGTCTATGTTGCACTACAGGACGCTACAAACAACTACTTTGTCCCTTACTCTGGTTGCTGATCATCAATCATTTGAGCTTACCATTGGGATTGCTCTCTTTGTTCTTGTAGACCTTTTCTAAATGGCAAAATTGCTTGCAGACCCTACATTGTATCCCTAGCCTAAACCAACACCTTTTCTCAGAATGGCCTTTCTTGCTGCAGTGAGAACAAGATGGATAATCCTTCATCCCATATAGTTTTCCCCACTGACCATTGCTCATTTCTTTCCTCTTTTTGTCTCCAACATACCTCCTATTGCTCATTTGTGCAATCTAATTTCGTTGACTACACTCATCAACCTGTCAACATACTCCTTTACTTTATCAGATTCTTGCATTCTCAACATCTCAAACTCCTTTCTTAAGTTCAACACTTACATGTTCCTTGTAGTGTCACTTCCCATAAATTCCTCCCTCAACTTATCCCAAGCTTATTTTGTAGTTTCACATGCCATTATCCTTGTGAATACAAGGTCTGTTACAATAGCATGGATATGGGACAAGGCTCTCGAAGCCTTAGCAGCTTATTCTTCGTAAATCCTAATCTGATTAATAGTTTGGTCCTAACTATGTTGGTTGCCTATTTTCTTCTACATATTGCCACAAACCTTGGCCTCGGAGGAATGCCTTCATTTTGACAGCCCATATGTGATCTTGTTCACCATTGAAGATTAGAGGAGAACGTAAGGCCGATTGAGAAGTCATGCATTCAAGTAACGTGGTCTGAGGCAGGAGATTTTTTTTAGAAATAAGATGAAGAGCTAATCGTGGGAGAAGAGTTTCAGGTTCTTTAGTATGGCTTTGACACCATTTGTTAGTGTTTTAGCTGGAGAATACTAAAAAAAGAAGGAGAAAAGGTTATATGTAACATTTCATTAAACTTGTAAATATATACAACAAAATGACTGCTTGAAATATCCATTGTTACGCCAACTTTGAAGAGATATTTTATACATTTGAACTTAAACTAAGACTTACAACTAATACATGTACAATCCCTTTCAAATACAAGTCTGTGCAATTGTTTAATTTCTTCATTTTGATTTTGATTTTCATTTTCAGGGGAAAAATAAATCCCACCATCTCCCCCAAACACTTCAATTAATAAATTTATGGAGCTACTCACATCAACAAGTGCAGGAGTGATTGTTGTAGTTGATGCTAATAGAAATAAAAAAAAAAATGTTGATACCCTTGACTGGGTTATTAACCACGTCGTTCGTCCCTGAGACAAAGTACTTTTACTTGGAGTTCTTCAAGATTTTGGAAAGAAGAATACTCTTGTTTCCCATTAATTAACAATATGGGCATCTCTGGTATATGTAAGCTACTCTCTCTCTCTCTCTTTTTCTTAAATCTATATTTTATTATCAAAGTCTTGAAATATATCAATACAATAATCAGTTATCTTGTCAATCATGCATGTGTTGATTATTTGAGTTACAATCTTATTTTCATTCATTGTGGTAATATGAACATTAAAATTATATATATATATATATATATATATTGTCTGNAAATCAAAATAGTGAAATATCTTAAAAAGCAGATGATGAAAAACATTGTTTAACAACTAATTGGCATAGAGATGTAGATGACCTTTTTCAGATTTCAGAAACTACTTCTGCCAAAAACATCCCCAAAAGCTTCATAAAGCCAATAAAACTCATGTACGGCTAAAAATATATAACACACAGTTTCTCAATAAAAAACCATTAAGTGGCTATCAAATAAAGAATAACAGGAAGGTGTTTGATAATTTTACAAAATTCATCCAGCCTTAAACTTACTTCTTGCTGGATCACATCATCACACAAGTGAAGAAGAGTGCCCTTCCCACTATCTAGTTGTTTGTCGTACATGGACTGTGTGATTAAATTCTGATATGTAGCCAAGTTTTGCTGAAACCTGCAGCCAGTAGAAGAAACAATATGCAATCAAATGATTTGATCTTTAATCAAGAACAAACAAAACCATTCGACAAACAGAAGTTCCTGTTTCATATCACATACAAGTGATACTTGTCTACATTAAAAGAGGGCCAGGGAAAATGCATGATCAGTAAGTACAACCAAGAGTTTTATATCAGAATTTTCCATCACCTTATGATAATAACATTATAGAATAACATAGAGCGCATATTTTCTTTCTTCCAAAAGTTGATCACATCAACTACTTATTAGAGAAAAAAAGGTCAGATAAATTATGCATATTGTTCAATTAAACAAAAATACATCAATAAACCCATAGACAAAAGCATTGATCTTGGATGTCGGCTGTGGGATGGACTACTGTTGTGGAGTAACTCACGTGAAGTATGTCTTAGCACAATAACCAATCACTGTGGAAAGGACCGCGATAATGACCCAAAGATCACGTTCAGTCATTTGGAGGGAACTAATCACAGCAACCTGTTCAGAAAAACACAGTAAGATATTTGGACAACACCGTGACACAGAAAGAAGAGTGGACAAAAGTAGAGACAGTCTGACAAAATAATTGCTAAACTGACCAGCCCAACCACAGCAGAGATCAGGAACTTGACCCAGTCTAGTGGAGTTAATCCTGGATTTTTCTTTTCAGGCTGTTAAGTTAGAAAAAGTCTATGTCAGTCGTGTTGTTTACAGACTTTGAGAACAGAAAATGCTACACAAGAGTCATAAATCAATGAGATAGTAAAGAAAGACATAGAGAGGCAGCCCAAATAACTTACAAGAACTATCTCCATATCGGCCATCGGAATGTTTTTAAAATGTTTCACATATATTCCTCGTTCTGGTTTTAATTTTGTACTTGCTCTCCTGCAGTATGATCATCATTCTCAGATGTATGACACAGTTCTCATAGTTGTTTCAAAAGTAGTTTCACAGGGCATCAATTAGAAAAAAAGCCTAGATACTTTTCCCAATAAAAAAAAGAACAAAATAAATGTGAATTCCATTGTTCATGAGAGGACCACAGTAGGATTTTCATTGTATGCATTTCATATCATAAAAATCATTTTTTTCCATCAACAGTCACCATGGTATGCAAAATTATGATGTAAAAGTTACCACTAATCAGTTGCATGTCAATGCAATAACATGATGAAACTGAAAAATAAAAGAATAAAATTAAACCAGAAACACAAAAACAAAAATTACCTGTAAACAACAATTATCCTATCAAAGGTAGGCTCTTGGATTGTAACCTTGGTCAGCAAATTGCGGAAACTGGGGAACACAGAATAAGAACATCATTGACTGGTGATAATAATCAGAAAGTCAGGACAGGCAACTCAATTAATACATAAGCACATTGCTTGAATCTCCATGTCTATTAATAACCATGGTATAATAAATCTTTTGGCACAGTTGCAAGGCAACGAAGAGAAGACAAGATTGTTAAAGTTACCTAATAATGGCCTACCCTCCAATCAAAAAACCAACCAAACATACACATACAAGTCCATCAAAAGTTATAGGCTGTAATTTTGTTAGTTAATTGAACTTCTTGAGTAAAAATAATCAAGTTAATAAAATTTGTATAGCTTAAAAAAGTTGATAATATCTTGTCATAACCAAAATTTAAAAGTTAAAAAAGATTTTAGACACTTGTGATTTTAAGATTCATACAAGAAGTTCATGTGAAGCATGACATTTTCAAACCACTTGGAATGGCATGCAATATACCCATAAAAATATAGTATATAAATCTGTTGCAGCAATAATACTGTCCCATAGTAATTGCTATATTGAGATAAAATGTACCTTAGTTCCATATTTTCAAGACGGTGTCGTTCAACGTATAGATCATCTTGAATGGCTTCAGAATTAATTTCATCATCCTTCTTTGGGTCCTTCTTACGACTGCCTAACCTCCTGCTAAAAAGTTTTTCTAGCCTGCAAACAAAGAACCCTGAAAAGGATTAAAAAGAAAATAATAAAGTAGGTTAACTTTATTACTAAGAGAAAAAGAATAATATTTTGGGCAATTCCAATGCTAAACAAACTCTTTTAACAGATAAGTTAACAATTCCAGAAACATGAACTGTAATTCACCAACAAATGGTCAGGCAATTTACTCAAGACCATTGTTCAGCTTATTTCAACTATCAGGAACGGACAAATCTAGAAGCATTATAGCTCTTGACTGCATAAATTCAACATGTGACTACTCAAAATTCCAGTACCAACAATATCCATTGATGATAAAAAAATTATAGTCCGAAAGATATACTTACTTTGTTCGTCTCAAAATAAATGACCAAAGGCGTGCAATGAGCATGTCCACTTTCTCCATGAAAAAGAAATCAGTTGTCTGATCAATTCCAATTCCACGTCGAAAGATAACGTACTATAAAGAAAAAAAGTTACAGATTAGCTTTCTTCAAAAGGACCACCCTTAGACCAAAGTTCAAAACAATGGTCAAGCTGGTTCAAACTTTGAAGACTTAACTGAAATTGAAATAAATCCCTAAAATGAAATCTCGTGGCTATTGAACTTCTTTCAGTTTGCAAGTGAGATGTGATTTCTTGCAGAAAAAAATATCAACACTGTTCCTATTTTTAATCTTTGCACTTAAAATTGAAGCTATCATAAAGTATCAGATATTTTGTTTCTCGTAGAAAGATGGCACTAGGTATTAAAGTGACGATCATGAAACATAAAATCCAATAAACTACACATATTGAAATATCTGCATACACAGCATAATGAGACAGATCGAGAACAGAAGCAAATTAACTCACTCTAATTAGCGCAGACAACATATTACACAAGCAGGAGATTTCCAGTACAACTTAATGACACATGCAACTAAACCCAACATAACCAATTTAAAACCATAAAGGGAGTGATTCCAAGGTAAGCACGTTATCAAAAATCTTCAGTGATAAATTTAGAGGAATACCTTATTAGAAAAATCTGGAAGGTTTTCATGGGGATGCTCTTCAAAATACCTCTTCAAAAGCTTCTTGTCAACCTACATTCAACAGAAAGTGAACATTGAGATCAAATTTGAAAGCACATGAAAGCACCCAAGATACATGCACCTATAGAGACTTGTTAATAGTGCATGTTTATATAATTGCATAGCTACCAAAATAGATCAATTTGTACTTATTTGTAAGTACAAACCTTAGACTCATCAACACTGATGGGAAGATTTAGAAGATACTGCCCTGAAAGTGCAACATCAATTTCATCATCAGTTGTTATTTTGAAATTACTCTTTTCCATCACCTGCAAAAAAAGAACAGAATTTTAAACATACATTACAGAGTTTCATATTGAAATTTGATAAGTATACATACACATACTTAAATCATTACATATTAGTAGTGTCTAGTACATGAAATTTCTTCATCTTCACAAGTTTTAGCAGCCAGCCCTTAATCAAATTTTAACCTAAATCCACCCTTCCAATCATTAACAATCCCTATTATTCACCCATTACCCTAACTTAAATACTCACGTTTTAAATGCTATCCTACAAATAAAATATTGATTCTCCTTCATTTATAACAAAATACAAGACCAAATTCAACCTCATTCTACCATAAACCTGAATATCAAATAAAATCTATTATCTATTAGACAAAAAGTAAAATATAGTAGTCATAGTACCTGAAATAAGTACGTCAGGAAATTCTGTTCAAGTGTATCAATTTCGGCAGGTGACAAGTTCTGCTGCTCCAATTTCTGGGCGCCAGATACAGGGTCAAAGAGGGAGTATAGTTGCTGCAAACACCATTAGTACGTAATTAAACTACCACCAAAGGCAAGAAACATTACCATAACATACTTAAGAATAATTGAAAAACCAAGGCTACCATCAAATCCTCAAATTGGAGAAGATACCACGCTCTAATTGTGTACTCAACTCTCTTGCAAAGCTTTAGAAACTCAGACCGGTCAGAACTATGCTCTGCGATAACATTTATACACCCGATTCTAGGTTAACAGCAATAGCAAAATGCAAAACTAGTAAATATATAATTGCATCCTTATTCACATGCATCCATAAAAATGAGTAAAAAAGAAGAAGACAATGGTGATTACCCAAAGAAAAAAAAAAGCGAAACCCTCGTTTTTCTTTTCTCTCATTAGCTGTTATTAATCAAAGATAAATTGTTTCATTTCTTAAGTTTTGAAGTTATTGCTTAGTGGGTCTTGTCATATCCAGTAATTACCAAAGATAAATTAAAATGAAAATGGATAAAATTGCAAAACAGAAGAAATTAGAAGAATTAGAAAAGAGAAATGAAGATAATAACATGAAATTGTAGAATTGACGTACCAATGAGATTGGCCAAAGTCATGATAAGCTTAGGTTTGAGAATGGGAATGACAGATTCACGTTCCAATCGAATAACTTCTTTCTTCTTTTTCTTGTCCATCTTGCTTGGTTTCTGTTTCTGTTTCTGTTTCCGTCTGTGTGAGAAGATAATATAATAGTTGAATTACGTTGTAAACTAAGAAGACAAAAGAAGAATATGTTGAAGATCAAATAAAGGGTTTTTTGTTTTGGAATGATTTGATGCTTTGCAAGCAAGGAACCCACTCTGACGTTGCATTAATTAAACTGAAACCGACACGACACACACATCGTTAACATTTCAGGTCCAATTAATTAACTGTAACTGTAAAAACTCTTCCTCTCTTCTGTGGAGGGAAGTCAGCGGCGGTGAAAGTAAAACAACTCTAGTGTAACTGTAAGGTTATCATTAAGTTACTTCAACGCAAATGCATACACCACTGCAATGATTCACATGCCAAATTCAACTATAATTTTATTAACCTTTATATATATACTGCATTTTTTTTTTTTTTAATGACAGATAACTAGTTTATACATACCTCGACTAATTTTTTAAGACCTTCAAATTACCGACTGGATAAAATCTCTAATAACTACCCCTACTAACATCTAAGAAGGGATTCAAACTCAAAACTTCTTAAATAATATACTCGAGAGTTCTCATCGAGCCACTCGATCCTTTATTTCCTTCCAACATTATTAAGAGCATAATGTTTCTCATGTTGTAATTTTCAGTTTTGAATTCAATCTTATATCAAACTTTTTTTCTCTATGGAGGGAAGATTTGATATTTTAAGCTGCACAAGACATTTAAATAAAATGAAGAAGAAGAAGAACCCATAAAGAAAAAGAGCATCGACATGACATTTCTAATTTAATCATACAAGACCAAAATTGATTGAGTTTTTCTTTTGAGGGATCAAGTTTCGGGGCTTTTGACACTTTGGCAGAGCAAGAGAATGGTAATTGATTGCCATGTTTTTGTCTACATAATAATTTAAAGTTGCTATTTCTCTGCTTTATTAAATGAGTGTTACAGCCCCAAGGGGCCACTCACTGCCAAAATACTTCCACACTCTGCTTCAATGCATTTGGCCACACATTCAATCAGATATTTACACATTACATATCTGGACAACAGCTTAGCTACATACTTACACAACTTCAACTCTATTCATAACTCTCTTGCAAGAGAAAAAGACAACTCCTGGAACTCGCACAACATTCATTCATTTTTTAGCCCATTCCCAAGCATAGTGTTCCGGAAGCTGATCTGCAAACGCTCTCAAAAGAAATTGTTCAACTAATATTCATACTCCGTTTGCCAGGTGAAATATAGATTATTTCACTTGTGCTGTTTTCATGAGAGAAACAGAGAAAGCTAGAGAATTAAACTTGAAAGAAGAAACATAAATTTTTAAAATAGGAGATAAAGAGAGACCTTAACAATTTCTAGTCTCCAAAATTATTGAAAAGGTATTCCTCAATCCTCAGTCAACAAGAGAAAACAAAAAATCCTCATGAAAATAAAAATTTAATATAATATAATTATATATATTTTGGCCTACCAATTAGAGAACTGGAGAAACCTGGATTTTTCCCCTCCTGCAACTTACCTCCCAACTACCCTTCTAACATCTAGGCTATATACATGGTGTTGAGTTGGCTCTTGTATAGGTATGTACAAAAACCTATCTCAGGGTCTGTATACTCATTGGCTTCTGCAAATCTGCAGTAACCTCAAAATTCTCTTCTTCGAAGCAAGTCACAGGTTACAATCTCCTGTCACATGCATCTTGGATGCAGTATTTGTTCTTAGCAGTTTTCCCACCCAGATCACAATTTCAACCTTATCGAGAACATTGTAAAATATTTTCTTACTGATTCCAAGACCTCAAGTAGGGTTTCCCCATCTGATCATGCAAAGTAGGATTCTGATGTGGCAAGTTCATCCATCCCATATCATCAGGCATCACAGAGGTAGGTGCATCACGCCCACCCAAGTAGTCAAGCGGATGCGCTGTGTGTGGTAAAGCATTACTAATCCCAGGAGCACCTCCAGCCATCAATCCATAATTCCTTGAAGAAATGAATTGCTCAGTTGATCCTATTGATTCATAGGGATTAACTGAACATAGCTGGCCACAATTCGTTAGAACACTATATAAACTCTGATCAGCGTTGTTTCCGTTCCCAATGCTCTGGCTCTGGAAACTAGATCCATCTGACCCTGTCCAGCCACCACGAACTTGATGCTCCCCAGAAAACCAGTTCTGATTCAACAATTCTCCACTGTTTATATGAGATTCCATAGGCTCTGACATGCGGGCAGGGTTAACAGTCCAATTCTGCATGTTTCCTGGTTGCAAGTTTTCTTGCCTTGGTATTAAGTATCTACCTCTGTCAGGGTAAATGTGCTCTGATATGTTTTGTTGCATGAAAATATCATTCAGTCTCTTCGGCCCCTGCTCAAGTTGCAGCGATGTCTGCAGCTGCTCCTGGAAATGCCCAGGAAAACGGCCATCAGCTGCCATCAACAAGTTGTTTGGTGGCTGGAAATCCAGCCCTGCCTGTTTCTGCTCTTGATGGTATGATAACATCCCCTGGGCCTTGAAAAGAGACTGCAGGAGCTCATTTCGGTCATGGGTCCGATAAGAATTTAAGGAACCATCATCTGATTGTCTGTGTAGCAAATCTTTCCTCATGTCTCCTTTCAAGTCTGATTCCAGATCAATTAGATGGGATTGTTGGTCTTCATTAACCCGTGGATTCATAAGTGGCAACCCACCGATTGGAAACTCATGGGTAGCAGTAGAATCATAATAAGAACGTGGCCTGCTCATGGCATGCCAGACATTTCCACCAGAAGGAAGAGGATCTTCGTCATTGACATTATCATCAGCAGTGTTCATTTTCTCCAAGGGGCCAGATACATCCGAAGAAGATTTGTCTGATTTAGAGGTAACGTGATTGTTTTCAAGATCCATATCTATGTGGTTGAACTCAGGGTTCCTACTAGGGGAAGAGACTCGCTGTGGATACTGCTCCTGGGGGGAGCCAGGACCAGAGTCTTCATTGTCTTCTGTGTTTGACTCATGCTTTGCTGCTACATCCTCCTTCTGATCATGACATGCATCTCGGTATTCCTCCATTTCATCCTGAACAACAGGGTTCTCTTCTTCCGCATCCTGAACAACAGGGTTCTCTTCTTCCGCATCCTGAACAAAAGGGATCTCTTCTTCCTCATCCTGAACAACAGAGTTCTCTTCTTCCTCATCCTGAACAACAACATTCTCTTCTTCCTCATCCTGAACAACAATATTCTCTTCTTCCTCATCCTGAACAAATGCGTTCTCTTCTTCCTCATCCTGAACAAAAGCGTTCTCTTCTTCCTCATCCTGAGCAACAGCGTTCTCTTCTTCCTCACTCTGACCACCAAAGTGCAAAATGAGAAGGCAAACATTAAACCACTGTGAAAGATTTTCACTCCACACAACACGGACGCCCATGTTCAAAGCAATTACCAGAACGAAACAATCTTATTATATCATGCAAATCAGTGAATCAAAAATATGTACGGGAACACAGAGAGAGAGAAAGCTGCAACAATAACAACCAGAATGAAAGAATAACCAACCTCAACCAGAAATTTTAATCTGTCTTTCATCTCTTGCCCCAAGGATTGTGTGATTTCCCACATCTGTAACTTTCTTTCTTTCCAGTTGGCATAAAATATAGGGAGATCTTCATTTGCCAGTTGCAACCTATATAAACAGTAATAAACTTGATGGTCAGAAATCAAGAGTTACACTAAGGTATAAAAATGTAATGTGAACTTCAAAACAAACTAACCAATGCTTGTGCAACTTCTTCTTCTCTTCTTCTTCAAACACTTCATAAGGTTGTACATGCAAACCATCAAGGTTTCCTAAAACCCGGTTCAGAGACTTGGATTGAATGCTTTTACCAGACTGCTTCATACTCTTAACAAGTTCATGCTGCTTCTTGCTAATCTGAAAAATCACAAAGTCAAATAATCAGTGATTGCCTTCAAAAAACCATCAGAATTGAATTGATTTCATCACTCAATATTTTGGAATTTCCAAACACTATTCATATCTTTGAATAAAGATCCACATAACTGTATTTCCTTACAAGGTAAATCACTGAGCTTGATGGCACAGCTAAGCAAGAAAACATAAGGCTAATACAGGTACGCCTAGACAATCATGAAAACCAGGTTTAAAAGTTTCTAGAGATGTCCCAATAAGTAAGGACCGTAGAAACTAAACTTAAAAGCATATGACACTAGAGATGGGAACAAGTATGCCGTTTTCTGTTAGTTCTTTATGATTCTTTGTTTAGCTACGCAGGTTAATAATCTAATTTTTGCTCTGTTCAAAAGTGGGTATAATTCAAACTTTTGTGGTAACCTATTTTATTTGGATTTTCCAAAACTATCCTGTTCCTTATCAAAAACAGACGACCAATTAAACAATTGGAAATGCTTAATTTCTTAATTTACGTACTCACTGACTAGGTTACAAGCAGTCCCTCCCAATGGTTCAATACAATTAGTAAGAATTTAATGCACCATTTAACCTTGACAAAAAATTAAAGAAACCTAACCTTGAAATATGACATATACTTGGCACCATCACTATGGTGGATATTGCGCTTCTTTAGCTTGTCTCCTTTTTTGAGTTTTGCTCCCACATTTAGCACGTCATCAGAAGCAAACAATGGATTTCTAGATTTGTCCTTCTTGAAACCTTTGTCGTGCATCCTGATTAACATGGCAAAAATTAAGATTAATTCACAATTGCAGATCTAAATATATCCAATTCACAAATATACAAAATAAACACCTCAAATACAAAACATAGCCATAAAAAATAAGAGATGAAAACTTTTTGAGCCCATCAATCCAAGGAACAAAGTTTTTCTTTGGGCTCAAAACTTACAGTGAGATCCAGGGCTTATGGATGTATAATTAAACGAGTTGGAATCCAAAAGAAAGTCAAAAGCCCTATATCTTTTTCTTTTCTCAGATAAGAAAAGAATCAAAGCAAATAATGTGACAAGGAGAAAAATGTTTCATCCCAACATAGAGCTAACAAGTAAGAGACTATGGCTACTTGCACAGCAGCCAGACCTTTGAAAATGAAAAAAAAAAAAATTGACAGGTTATTTGCCTCAATATTTGCACTTCAGAGAATCAGCCAAAGCTACCATTTGGACATAATAAATTTTCTCATTTTTAAGTACGGAAATCAGCATTCTGCATCACTCATAGCAAAAATTTGAACTTTTCTTCTTTCATAAGTAAATATCTGAACATTAAAGAAATAAATTATAGAAACAAAAGAACATACACACATAACAAGCCAAAAACAGCAAAAGAACTAGCCTCTAATTCCCAGAAAAGCCACACATGTATGCAAACATATACACAAATATTGGAACTAAGAGACAGAAATAGAGAGACTTTAAATGAAATAATTGAAATTATTCAAAAAATCACTTAAATGTTAACTACCTTTTTTGATGTTCTCCGCCCTTCACTGCTGAAGAGTTCTGATTATCACTGCTACTTGCTTTCTCATCCGCAACCCAAGAACAAGATTCAGATGTTGCAGTAACATCCTGCTCAAGATCGCGGAGTCTAGATTCACTAGCATTTGAGGATATTCTTTTCTCCGCATCTCTTCTTGACCTAAGACAAATCAAAATTAAGTACACCTAAATGAGATTCAACATCAACATGGAAAGAAAACAAACAAAATTAATACCAAACAGAGAAGACCAGAAATGAAAGAAAGAAAGCAAAAGCATTTTAACAAATTAACAAGAAAGTTAATCAGTATTTAATTGTATATTTCAATAAACTGAACAAATTATGCATATTATAATAATAATAATATAGGGGTGAGGGGTCCAACTGCCCAAAGACACTAAATGGATTTACCAGTGATAAGAACAGTGGAAAAGGTCACGGAAAGACTTTACAACTTCAACAGAATGTATGGACTGCTATAATAAATAAAGAACATTTAATATAATCACACATCTTTTAAACTGTACAAAAGAAGAATTATAAAAGAATTTACTAGAGCATAGCCAGTCAAACAACCACCACTACATTTCTACAGCAACAGAGCTCCTCATTTATGTTTTAACACTCTTCAATGATGGAAATAATTAAGCGAACTGAGATTTGAAAGATCACCATTTCTAAGTATCAAATTTGCCAAAACTATATTATTACAACAACAGAGCTCCTCATTTACATTTTATGATAACTACTGTAAGTCCAACTTCATCAAACACCACACAAATGAGATTTGAAAGATCACCACTTCTAACTACCAAATTTGAAGAATTACCAGAAAGCTTCACAAATGAATTTGTGATTTTAATCTACCTTTAATTTCCATGTTACAAAAGATTAGTTTGTTATATTAGTGAGCAATCATCTTTTTTACACACTAATTTGGCAAGCATGTGAAACATAGCGCTACTTAAGCACACCCAAACTGGATTATCAATTATACACGTAAATGACTCTGGCCCCACAAAAAAGAATCATGGAAAAACTAAGGCAGTATCAACCTTCCAAACTTTGGCAAAATTTCCTCTTCTGGATCTTTGCAGCTTTCCCAGTTATCCTTCAACTTCTGCAAATACTCTATAATACTGCCAAAAGCAGAGAAAATCAAAACTACATATTTTGGGCAAATGCACCAAGTCAAAAAACAGCATATCACACATTGGAAAAATAGGCTATGCTTAACATACTCATCATGATATTTCTGCAACTCAGAGTAATATGCTTTCTTATCAGCCTTTAAACATCGTTCCTGGTGAAGAACTGCATCAGGATGAAGATTACCTGAACAAAGTGAAGCGCCCCTGCAGCATATTTTCCATTATGCAAACTGACTCAGACCTTGGACTAGCATCTTACATCATAAAATAAGGATATTTCTCTCAAAGACTAAAAAATGCATAAAGTTTCCATCTTTTTCATTCTAGTTTATGCTGAGTTATAAAAACAGTGAGAATAAAGCCGCAGCGACACCAAATCTGTAAGTACAAGGTGCAATCAAGAATGGTATTGACAAGAAATTAAACAACTGTGAAAAACAACACATGAAATATATAGGATAAAGAAAAAGCATTTCCGTCGAAGTGAATACTATATTCTGCAGCAGAATCACACTATTTCGATATGAAGTTTAGCCATTCTGTAGCCTATAATTTTTTTTTCTCTTCTCTTTGTTTAGTTGATCAAATTTACTAGATTTTCTTATTCCTCTATAAGGACCCAAGCAACAAGCAAAAAATTTACTGATAATCATGAGAATGAATTGAAGATTTTTTTCCTTTCCCATAGGAATTAATTGATATATTTGAACCTAAGACCTTACTGTAACTCCACCAATTCTTCTCTCTTCAACAAGGTAAAAGGATGAAAATGCTAATAAAGTATTCAGCAATCATCAAATCCTTGCTACAGGTTCATCCAACTAGTAGTGTTCATCCAACAGCATATTGCAAATTTGTATATCAAAAATCAGAGTAAGGTTTCTAAGAAGAAGAAGAAATTATATTTCCACAAAAAATTTTCACTGCATTTATGAATATAAGCATAATAAAATAAAACAAAACAACTATCTGCTGAACATGCTTATCCAAACTTATATCTATGTGTGAGTTGGAGTGTTTGTGTGTGTTGTGAGTGTCTATCCATACTTATATCTATGTAACAATGCTTATATCAATACTTGCCATTTGAGAAAAGGATTTCCAAAGTCAATATTATCCCCAGAAAGTAGTGCTTGCACAACATGTTCTGCATTTTGTCCACTAGGAAGAAACTGCATAAGAAACTTTCTCTCATCTTCTAATAGCTGAGTCTGCCAAACCTATAACAAATTTCAAAAAAATGCATGCAAAAAGACTGGAGTTCAGAATACTGTGTTTGTAGCAAAAGAGTAATTAATAATATCTATTAGACATGTGGATACCTCGTAAGAGAGAACCTCACTCAAATTCTCCAACTCAAAAATATCTTGAGGAATAGAAAAAACATCTGCCAAAGCATTGTGGGAACCAGGAACAGAATCAATGAATGGCCTTAAATTCCTCCTAGTTATTCCAATCTGATCCTTTCTGGCAACAACCTTTTTTATATTCCCGTCCCACTCAAGAGAAATATGTGATTTCGAGTTTAAACCCTTGTGTTGTGACTCCAATTTTCTCTTCTTCATTCCATATTGCTTCAGAGAACTGCAACCTGCCACACTGGTACCATTAACTCTCTTTCTCCGCTGATCAGCGGCCATTGCCACAATCTGTCAAAAATATCCCCCCGCTAAAACTTAGACTGAGTATGCTCCCTCCATCTGCAAACCTTAAACCACCATGCAGTAATTATCTAACTTGCATTAAACTAAATGCAGTAACGTGAAAATTAAACTCAAACAAGTAACCATTTCAAGAATCTAAACTAGGTAAAAAAATCCAGCCTATTATCAAATTCAAGGCTGATTTTAACACAGTGAAAAGAATAATAAATAAACCATCAAACTATTTAAAAAAATAAAATAAAATCTTGCAATTCTAACATACATATAACCCAATTAAATTGAAACAAACTTAATAAAACACCCACTCAAAACACACCCAAAACCAGTAACCCCAAATTAAAAAACAAACCCACAATCAATCCACGACATAAACAATCACAGCCAAAAATAAACCCAAACAACACATCAAAAGAACACGCAATTCAAAATTTCAAACAACAAAAAACCCTAAAAAAATCGCAAGAAAACACAAAGCCAAATACCTGAAAACCACTCAATGCTATACCAGTGAACACCCAACGAAAATAATTAAAATATTTTCAACTAAAATCCTGGTTGAGCACGAGAGGCAGGTAGCTGCGAGAGATATGAAGAGGGTTTCGTGGGGTTATCTGATTAGGTTTTTGTTTTGTTTCGTTTTGTTTATGAAGAGTGAGAGATAGAGAGAAACACACGACATAAAAGGAAAACTAAAAAGAAAGAAAGATAGATAGATAGGGACGAGATTGAGATTAGAGAAAGATCAGACGAGTGAGGTTTCTCGCAACCGTTATGGTGGACATTGAATCGTTCATTCGCGCGCTTGGGCGCGGCTTGGCTCCAGCCATGGCTCACTCATGGGTTCGCTCTTGGTTTGTTTGCTTTGCGTTGGTAACATATATTGATTGGTTGAGTGGCCCTTTAATATTATTTAAGGAATAAAAATTCAGCATAGATTTGATGTCGATATTTGATTGGTCCATTAAATAATTGAATCACTTTAATTTAATATATATAATATTACTAACATGTGACAATTATTGTTACCATGTATAGTAATAGTATCATATTAATTGTCGGAATCTTTAATATTTTTAATAACAATTTATAATTGTTGCCCAAACTTTAGGGGCGATTTGTAAAAATTTATAGCGAGGAGGATTAAAAATCAGAACCTTTGTGGGCAAACACGTGGACAATGATTAGAGATATGAGTCCATATCCAATTTCCAATTTTGACCTTTGGTGAAACAAAATATATGTGATCACAATTGGGACACCATGACCATAGTCTTGTATTGAAGAAGAGATAGAAGGGTTTTGATTTTGAGGTTTATGAGATGATGGATTATTCTAACTTATAAAATGAATCACCTTGTAGGTCAATTAACTTAGTGGTTGCAGTTCAACTATTAGCACCAATAATTCATTGGTTTCAAAAAAAAAAATACCTAAACCCGAACTCGTTAATTTTCATTAATAGTTTTTTAAAAAAATAATTAAATGACATTTATACCTTTTATCAACCTAAACCCTAAATATCCAAATCTCATAGCAAACCTTTGTTATCTCTAACAGCTACCACGAAGCCTTGGAGGCCTCATAGGTCAGAGCAGAGTTGAGACGTTTATGATTGAGTATAATTTCCCAATAGTCAATATTGAGAATCCTTAAGCAAAGCAATATTCTAAAGTGATGAGTAAGTATATACCAGTGGTACATTCCATTCAAGCCACATCTCTTATTTTCTTTCATATATACCTCCTTCAAAAAAGTCCCTTTGAAAATCAGTGTAATTGGACCCAAAATAAAGATCAAGAATTCCTTTAAATTATTATTGCATTTCATTTCATATAGTACTAATATTTAAATTATAAATTGAGGTAGTAAATGATTTATTAACGTCACAAAATCAAAAATATTAAAATATGGTGAGAATTTTAGGTTTAATAATAAAGAATCAAAATTGGTAATGTTTGATTTGGCTCGGCTAGTGCCTACCAAGCCATTGGAAACGACATCGCATTCCAGCTGCCGGTAAAATGTTGGAGTCTTTTGATTCCCCCATGGACTTTCATATATCAAAGTAAACGTTTTATTCTTTTCTTAATTTCATGGTCTTCTCTTCTTGCAGTCCCTTTCTTTGAAGCCTTAATTACTTTACTTTACGCGCAAGTATATACTATTGCCTCAAGCTTCACATTGTTTAATTTTTATTTTCTTTCTAATATAAACTTCAAATACATTCACCTAATTCTTTATTTATTTGTTCAAACTTACCAAAACACAAATAATAATAAAATGCGTTTTAATCTTCTTACATCAAGGCATCAGTTGTTTTTTTTTTTTTATCTGCATAAAGACTGTCGTGTCCTTTTTGGCTACCAAAGACGTCACCAAATCTGGGCCATTCAAATGGGTGAGCATAAAATACTTGGCCTAAAAACAAAACAGTTGCTGAGTGAGTTCCTGTAAACTGAAATGGCAGCAAAAATATTATCACCAAATCCACAGCTTCTCTGTTCCTTTTCTCTTCGTTCAAAACTTAGTTTCAGAGAGGTGAGGCAGCAGCAATCATGGCTGAGGACAGCTACAAAACCCAAGAGACAGGTGGTGGTTGGTGTGTCCATTCAAGAACCTCTCGTATCTACTCTTGTGGAAAACATCAGCAATTACCACCAAAACACTGAGCCATTTTATTTAATAGCTGACAGTGCAGTGGGCTATTCTTTGGCTAGCTACTACACTTCTCTTGGTTTATTTGTCATATCTGTTCCTGGTCTCTGGTCTCTCATCAAACGTTCGGTTAAATCCAAGGTATAGTACTAATTCGAAGAAATTTAACAAGTGGGTTTGTTTGTTTAGTTTTTTAAAATTACTTTTGTTACTGATATGTAAAGAATGATCGTGAAGACATAAGCTTTCTGCAAGCTTGAAATACTGGCTGTTGGATTAAGTTTAAATTGTTTTATTTCAGATAGTGCAAAAGACATTTATAGGAGAAGGGGAAAGTATGAAGGCACCGAATCAGGTCGCCGGGGAGATCTTATCTTTCTTTACTCGCAATAATTTTGTGGTCACTGATAGAGGAGAGACTGTAACGTAAGCCATTATTTCCTCATCCTCTTATCTATATACTATTCAAGTCTTATGTTATTGGATTTCTTAATTTTGAACATCAAATGAAGTGAATTTACCATTTCCATTATTAACAAGAGGGAAAAGACCATTTTTTGAGGTTAACATTAAGGCTTCTGATTTGGGTGAAGGTTTGAAGGAATGATGGTTCCGAGCCGAGGCCAAGCAGCATTGCTCACATTCTGCACTTGCATTAGCTTGGCAAGTGTTGCCCTTGTGCTTACCATAACCTATCCGGATATCGGCAATAACTGGTTCTGGATCACCATCCTCAGTCCACTAGCGTAAGTGCAGGTGTTTTGTTCTCTACCAGTTTTCTTGTGAAATTCAACTTGAAATATTGGTTCTGATTTTGGGATGACTCGCAGGGGAGCATATTACTGGAAACGAGCATCAAGAAAAGAGCAAATTAAGGTTAAATTGCTGGTTGCCGACGATGGTACCCTGTCCGAGATCGTTGTCCAAGGAGATGACCAGCAAGTAGACCAGATGAGGAAAGAGCTTCAGCTTAGTGAAAAAGGCATGGTATACGTTAAGGGCATCTTTGAGAGATGATATTTGATCGCTGAAAAGGCTATTCAATTTTTCAGTTGGGCTTGTGCTATGCAATCATAATACGAACTTATAAGGGAGCACAGCAAATTGAGTATCAACGGAAATAGTTATTAACGGTGTCCTTTTAATGGAGATGAGCCTAGAACCAGGATTGTTTTGTGTTTTGTATTTCCCGGAAATTTTGAGATGCATATGCTCTTAAATGCATAATATGATTTTGCTCTTGTAACCTGAAAAAGTTTCAATTCTTACAGATTGATTATCATCATCAATTTGAATCTTTACGTTCATTTTCAACTCAGCTTGGTTGCAAACAAACATGCCTGTTCAAAAGGTACGGAAGAGACTTGCCCTCTACCAACAATGGTAGCATACAAATGCAACGAGGGCATAGCAAAGATCCCAAGATGTTACAAGATGCAGCCCATTGCGAGATACTAATTGATGATTGAAAGAAAGAAGAAAAGCAAGTTGCTCTCTTGAGACCTAGCCAACAACGGCTTTAGACAGAAACCTTGAGTCATGCAAATGCAGACATGTGTATATGTATTTAAAAGGTAATGTTATCTGTACAAACTCGAGTTTGTACAAACTGATGTGACATGTCACAAAACATATCATATGACATTAGGATCCATGTAACTTAATATTTAAACTCTCATGTGACGTGACACTCACATAATGTGTCACGTCACTTTGTATAAAGAACTTGTACAAATAGTTTTACCCGTGTGTTTAAAATGGAAACCGACAACTTCTTCATTGATAAAATAAAACATAAGCAACTGTGAATTAAGGCATGAGCAAAAGACATTGGAAATTATGAACAGCGGAGGAGCCATGAAGAATTAGAGATTATCAGCATGAAAGGAAAAGATCGAGATCAAACACAATTATATACCCTTAAAGTTTTAGCATTGCAAAATAAAAGTTGAACAATTAAAGTACAAGTTCAATACCAATGTATCAAAAAACAGGCAACTTATTCCGAATTACAGTATCCCAACCTCAAATAATAGGTGGTAAAACACAAAGACCTGCATCAAATCTTCGGCATTATCTGATAAAATAAAAAAATTGAGATCCCACATAAACACGGTTCACTAGAATAGAAAACCACACTTCTCAACCAATCATCAACTTGTTCTCATCCAAGAAGGAGTAAGTAGGTACTTCCAGGTTGTATGGTGCTGGCCCCTTGCGAATCCTGCCAGATATATCATAATGGGAACCATGGCAAGGACAAAACCATCCACCAAAATCACCCGCATTTGGCAAGGGAATGCAACCCAGATGTGTGCAGACGCCAATGACAATAAGCCATTCTGGATTCTTAACCCTCTCTGCATCTTGCTGAGGATCACGAAGAGTTCCCACATCAACACTGTTTGCAAGTTGGATATCTTCCTCAGTACGACGCCTGATAAAAACTGGCTTCCCACGCCACTTAACAGTCACAGTAGTGCCAGGCTCAATGCTAGAGAGATCAACCTCAAGAGAGGCCATGGCAAGAACATCCTTACTGGCAGACATGCTCAGAACAAGCTTAAGGATGAGGAGACGGAGCAGTGAAGCATACACAAACCTACCACCAGTCAATACAAAATAGGCAAAAGCCCGCTTGTTAGGATCACCAGGAGGATAACGCTCGTGATTGTATTCATCATATACTATCTTAGAAGTGGGGTTCTTAACAGCTGCCACTGTTGGTGGAATACCGGGCACTACAGAGTTTTCATCCCTCGGTGTGAGGGCCTCAGAAGCAAAACCTGAAACATTATTAAACAAGAAGGATGGTGTCTTCACTAAATATTTCCCAAATATGAGCAATTATAGAGAGAAAGAACTACATGTTGCATAACTAGGAGGGCAGCAAAAAAGAAACTGTAATTCTAGCATTTAAATCCTTTATAACACACTTGAGGTTGAAAGGGCAATAAGCAACTTCAGAAAGCCACTCAAAATTATGTAACTTGTTTCACAATCATGATCATGGAATCAATATATACTTTTAGACACTTAGTTGAATAAAATATTTTCCTTCACTATTTGTTTGATAGCAGTTCCTGTTTTCCCCAAGGACATTCACCAAAAAAGGGAAGTAATAAGGAAAGCCCCATAATCAGGGTTAACCAAGTATATAATCTCTCACATTCACTACTGCAAATAGCACGCAACATGCATATATAACATACTATTCAGTTCACATAAACATGAAACAGCAACAAGAAGCAGCCTAAGGACAAAATTCCTAGTACAGGGGAAAGGTAAGACCAATCAATAAACTCCAACATGGGCAACTTAGATAGTTCCAAAAATGTCATAATATACAAACTCACTGGATAGTTGCGTATAAAACCAGTCATAAGGACATGCTGTCATCCTTTACAAGTAAACAACTTGAGACTTTAATAATAATCATTAAAAAGCACACCTTCCTTTGTAAAATAGGATTTCAACCCAATTCAGGTCACATTGCATCTACTAACAAATACAGCAAAATAATAAAAATTAAAAAAAGGAGTGAGAGAGAAAATCGTTTTTTGAGTAAAAAGCAAAAAATCTGAGCACAAATTAACTTGAGAAATGAAAGGCAAAAGAAAAACCAGTACATGTTATAGAGGTTGGAAATTAACTCATCCCTTAATGATATCTGACTAATATAAAATGGGAAGTTCCATTGCTGCAATGCTACTTAGTAACAGACATCTACACCACCATAAATGGATTTGTGAGATAGCACTGTTTGACTCGGCTTTTACTTCGTGCTGTTTGATTCTCGTAAAAAGATTCTACCAATTTCTCTTTACGTGAAGTATGTTTCAGGTGATAAATTAACATAACTTTTCTTCATGGATTAAAAATTTTCTGTTACTTCAAAAATACAGCTAATACAAACAAGCGGCAAACATAGTCACTCTCAAGAGAATAACTTCAGAAATTGATAGAAAAAAATGTTTCCTAAGAAAGTAATGAATTTTCTGTTTCTGCTCCCAGAAATCTACTAGTTTAACATGAAACCAAATACTATATTTCGCTTCTTGCTTTCGAAACCCAAAGCAATAAATGAAGCAAATTTTCAACAAAACAAAAAAGCCATTTTTATTCACCTAAGTAAATCGAACTTCTTTAAGCAATAAATCAAAAACTTGACATACTACCTCAAAGTTTAACCATGCAACTAATAACAAGCTACTCGAAAAAAATTATTACTACCGAAACGAAATATAAAGTAAATTACAACAAATTCAACAACATAAAATTAAATGAAAAAGTCTGAACCCTAACTAACCTCGGCAAGGAAGATGGAACTGAGGTGCAAAGAACGGGGAGCTGGAGAAGCCGCTGGATCTGAAATCATCGGATGACGAGGAGGAGGAGGACAAATCAGCACCGTTGATTAGATTCCGTGACGGCGCAATTGGTCTCCAAGATGACGAGGATGATGATGAGGACAGAGACAAAAGCCTCCTCGCAGCGACTCTCAACATCTTCAAACGCTCGATTATCTCTTCGGAATTGCGGTACTGTCGTCAATCTCTAGCTTCGCGAAAATTTGGGAATTTCAGAGGGATGATAAAAAGGGTCGCCTGTTTTTACAGAATCAAGCGGTGATTAGTTCGTTCAATTGGTGTCCCTGATTTTGACACGTGGGCATAAACCACGGTCCAATTTTTATAATTCGTTTTCTTTCCAACGACGTGTTTGGCTGGGGTTATCTCGTCATTTTATATAAACAAATTACTGTTTGGTTATCAAATAATATAAATTATTGTTGATAATATAGATGATAATTTGGTTACTTTTATTTCTTTAGATAATTTAAGAAAACTTGGTATTGTTAATTTTATTCTTTATTAATAAATTTTTTGGACAACAATGCCCTTATTATGAAATTAATTTACATAAACATATCATTACAATTTTACCCCTAATTAAATAGGTTTTTGGACAGTAATGTCTTTGTATTTAGAACAAATTGCAAGACACCCAAGATCACTACTGCCCGCCAACAACCACCTTCGACTGCCAGTATACGTGGTTGGAACAATGCATGACTGGTTAGACCTAGTCGGTCGACCAGAGATGTGGCCTTTAACAATGGCCAGAGATTTGGCCTTCAATGACGACCATAATCTGACTATCAATAGTCAGATTCTGACAATAGATTTGACCGTTTTCAACTAGATCCACTATGTATTTGGCCAAAAACGGTCATATGGCGCATAAAGAGCCAGATTCAGTCGGTCGTGCGCCATTTCGGCATTGGTGGTTGGCATCCCGCACTGGCTTGAGATAGGTGGGGGTGATTTTGTTAGGAATTAAATTTTTATGTGGTTTAGGTGTTTTAGCAAAATCTCAAATGTATGGGGTTAAAAATGATAATAAAAATAATACTATATTAATATTTAAAATTAGGACAATTTAGTAATTTATATAACATACCCACCAATTTATTCTTCACAACCAAACATATCAATATAATATACCCACCAATTTATTTCAACCTAACCAAACATATTTTCTCAAATATTCCCACTGATTTTCAAGCTAATCTATTTTTCCATTAATATAGCATTTCCAGTAATACAGTATTCCCTGAACCAAACGTACCTTAACGAAAGGTAAATAAAACACTTCTATTTAACTCAGGCTAATATAGAGTCAAGTCGAGCTCAAGTAGTTCACGTGTTGAGTCGAGCTAAATTCGAGCATAATAATACTTGACTCGAGTAGCTCGAACTTGACATATTATATAATATATTATCTTTATATTATTATTATTATATATGTATATATATTACAATAATTAAAATTTATTAATAATTAAAAATCGAGTTTGAGCTGGATCTTGACTTGATTACAACCAAGTCGAGCTTGAGCTTGATTTTTATTCGATTATAATTGAGTTGAGCTTGAGCCAATCATATATCTATCAAGCTCGAGCTCAGACTCAGGCTCGACAATTGAAACTCGGTCCATTTCGAACTCGAGCTTCGATTATTCCAATTGAACCGAGCTTAAGCTTTTCAATATTCTGTTCGATTTGTTTCGATTGCAACCTTCATATAGACAATTTTTTAAGTCATTGGATCACTGTTCACCATGTAATATTACAAAGGTAAAATTATAAATGAACAATCAAATGTAATAACATTTATTTTTGTTGTTTTCTATATTTTTTGAAATAAATAAAAACATAAAGATTTGATTAATAAGATATTAAGATTTAATAAAATATTTGGTAATTTTACAATTAATAGTATGATTAAAAAAAAGCACTGATAACACGTTTTAGTAATATTTGAACATTATTATTACAAAATATTTCACCAAATAATTATTTCCTATTGTATAAATTGGTTATAGGATAATTATATTAAATAGCTCCTATTTTCGCTTGAATTGAAAAGTAGCCTCATTTTCAAAGTTTATAATTTTTTTCTAATTTTTTAGACAAAATTGGTTTTTATATGTATAAGCTAAAACACAATACATTAAACAACGCTCGATACCACCCGATATTGCTCGATTATCAAGATTCGTATACTATTATCTTCAACCTCTAGCCCCAATTCACTTAATTAGGCCCAACGTTTTCCATATCTCAGAATTCAGGCACTAGAATGATAACTAGATAACACACAACAATGTCCGATAACACCCGACAACACTTAAATATCGAGATTCCAGCACCATCGTTTTCAATCTCTATAAATTACTACCTTATTATATTTTA